TGTGAGTATTACTAGGCTATTTCTATCTTTGCATCTTTAAAGTTTTTTCCAATTTAAACAAATTCAAAAAAAGGCTGTTCGGCAATTTCTTTTCTAGTTATTACTCACTCCTTCGATCAGTTTCGTATTCGTTACTACTAAACGTAAATATTTGATCAGCAACTTCTTTCATCATTTCTATTTGTTTTCGTTTTCTATTCAGCTTAATTAGATTCATTTTGTCGAAAGTTACCGCTTCAACAATCTCGCCCATTTCTTCATATCAGCTTCTCATAAACTTAGGTGGAAAATTGCACATAAAATGCAAAAGTAACAGGTACTTAAGGTTAAGCTGCCATGAATGACACCATTATACTTTTAACAAATTTCACATTTTCCATTGCTATTGAAAATATACCAAATTTGTTTCTTATGTGCAATTTTATAGACAGCTTGACCAAAAACTACATAAACTGTTAGAGCTCAGCTATCTACTAAAAGACGTACTTTTGAAACTTTACAAACTTGACTAAACTATTGAGATGTAAAATTTTCTTTTTCTGCTTTTTTGCTATTTCCCAAAGGGCATACTAGAAAAAAATATATTATTAAGTTTAACCCAATATAGAAATTTAATATCTAATTTGTAGGTTCTTACACATTGTCATACATAAGTCAATATGATAAAAAACTATACTATTAACATTGGCGTAAATTTTGAATAAAAGCAACATCAAAATTTAACTGATTTTTTGAACTGCGTGTTGATGACGTGACAATTGAGAATTAGTTAAGTACTTACCGAAAAAGTAGGATATTCCTAATGTAATTATGGCTCCTAGTGGCTCACAGTATACACTTCCAAAGGCAAAAGGTGTGGCAATAAGTTGACTAGCTGCTAAAATGATTACTCGGGATCTGATTCCCATTTTTGCTACAAATTTGTCGGAAATCACACCCCCAACTACAACACCAATACTTCCTACGACTATTGTGACTGCAAACAACCACCAACCTGCGAAAAAGATGTTTTCGTATAATTTCAAAATTAAAGATAAAAGCAATTTGTTAACTAATTAGTTAATCTGCGAATTACATGCTAGTTCAGCTAGAAATTAACGTTGCCAATAAAGGCAGGATCGACTCAATGGAGAAATACAAGGCAATGGAGGGAAGCAGCAGGCATTTTTTTGGCATAAATTTGCTAGATTTAAATTGTTTCCAAATCTTTGTGCTTTTCACCTTTGTAAGAAACATATTTGCGTACAATTTTTATTGCAGTTGAGACAAATTTGCGGCTCTTGTTTTAGTCCTTTGAACATTTAAATTCTGCTTCTAATAGAGACGACGAATACACTATACCAAGCTCGGTTAAATTGCGTTTCTCTATTAAATTTGTGCTTAAGAGCCTGCTTTGTTAAATAGAGCTCTGTTCCGCTCAATTCATTTAATGAAACTACTCACTTAAACGGTTATTTGCTCACGTTCTAATTCAAAGAGTTTGCACCATTTAACTAAATACATTTTATTGACTTGCTCCTGCTAGTGGAATTGTGAAAATGGGCCATGATTTACAGCATACTTACCTAAATCATAATCAGGAAAATATATTTGATAATACAAGTCGCAATTGTACGCAAAACACATTCCACCACAATGTCTAATAGATGCGGCCAGACATAACATTATAACTCGAGGTTCGCTCATCACAGTCCTTAAAAATTGTACAATAAAAATTACAAACACTACATTTTTTATCAAATAAATCTGCGAAAGCTTTTAATTCAAATAAGTACGATAAAAATTTGTCAAAAAAATCAGAGTTGCTGAAAAGAGTTACTAAAACGCTACTCGATTTCAGCGATTTCAGACTTACCAAATGGTAACTTTTTTTGCATCTGGATTAGCTTGGGCAGCAGCGTCTTCACCAATCGATTGTCTCTCTGGTTCTTTCAGAGTAAAAATAGTCAGAAATGCAAATATTAAAGCCACTATGCCTGCTCCATAATAACACACCCTCCAACCCAAACCCCAAGCGTTCAATGGAGGGATATATCTTCCCACTGGAAATGCAATACCTAAAACAGAGAAACACGAAATTTAATATTTTGTAGAATTATCTTATTTTAGTATGATATTAATTGGTTCGTGTCAATTAATTAAACATGATTTTTATTTCAGTTGTGTTACAATTACATTTTTTGTGTTACAATTAAATCGTTAATATTTAATATCACTTGGATTTTAATCAATTTTCCTTTTATTATATTGGTTTACTTCAATTAATTCATTCCAGTTTTCTGGATTTATTCACTTTGTTGAAATATTTAATTTGGGAGAATTTCGCATTTTCATTACGCCTTTAGTGAACAGATTAGTGCCATTTAAAGTTATGTTTTTGTGTATTATTATATTAATACAATACTGAAACTTAGACGGAAAGTTTAAAACTGTCGGATAACGACTGAATGTTAAAATTTCCATCTCTCGGTTGCAAGAAAATATAGCCTGCGCTAGTATTCGAGTTAGACACTCATTGTAGTAAGTAAAGTAATCGACATTTACATTAAGAATAGCGACTAATCTTATTTCTAATATTAAAAATAGTTTTAGGTGAAACCTGCCACACAGAGTTTAAAAAACCGATGTCAAGTTTCTTATATAAAAGAAACAAAAGAGATGGAGTAGGTGTGTACACACTAGGTAAAATTAAATGAAACTGGCTCGGTCTATATAATCCAAAGATTTTTTTATACCCCTAAATTTAACTTAAGCCCAAGCGCTTTGGACAATCACCTGTACAATGACCGTTCATTTGACTGTGTGGGTGACTAGTTCAAACATTAACGTTCTTATTATATTTATTTTAGTCTCTTAAAAATGATACGAGTCTTTTTTACAATTTCAATATTTGACTTGTAATTTTCGACTCATTGTTACTGGTTTTTGGCATGTTTAGCACTTGACCATTAAATTCGAGGTTTTGAATTATATATAATTTTAATACCAAACTGGTTTCATTACTTTTCTTATAATAAGGTTTACTTTACAAACAGTTGTTTACACCCTTATTATTATAATGGATCAAGTGCAAATAGAGTGAATAGTATGATCACGAATATACGGCGTCTTCAGTTTTGTGTAGCAGCGAATTAGGTAGGAATTTTTTGTGGTTTGCAGCAACTTGCATTTACGACTTATTCGCAATTTTATTTGAGGAAAAAATATTTTAAACGTTTTAAAAAGTGTCGACACGAAATCTACACTTTTTATATTAGGCATGCAAAAAGTTTTAGTGCCTCCTAACTCATTATTAAGAATTACGGTTATTAAGTTACTAACAAGTTTTGAACCACGCCACATTTTCATAAGTTTACACTCCAACTTTTTCTATTTTAAGTACATTTGAGTATTTGGATGCATAACCTACATATTTTAAGTTTATTGAAATTCCTTTTGGTATGAAACCGTTTGAAGGGTAGGTAGACGCTCTAAAATTGTAAGACTTCATAAAAATGGTAATTTCATTACAGTAAGTTTAAGCTTAACATTTGGCTGCATTCAAAGAATTTGAATTTAAAACCATCAAACTTGTGTGTTCTAGACGAATTTAGTAACTTTTCGTTTAAAAAAAATGTAAAAACTACCTACTAAATTTTTCTTTTGAGTCAGGACAGTTTTTTTGTTTCGAAAGTATAGAAGTTTTAATGTTCCGCTAAAAACTTTAGAGTTGGTCCCAATAATGACCGCATTTATGCATCATGCATCTCATGTTATCAAATCACTTTAACGATTGATTTATGTTGGAAACCTTGTTGGAATGTTTTAAATTAAACTTTATTTTGGCATTCAAAAGTTGTAATCTGGTATCTGTTGCTATGAAAAATTCATAATTCAAAGTACCAAATCATATAATTAGTAATATTTTTTTGAAAAGTTACCATTAAATTTGTTTACAATTCTAGGATCGTCCGAATTTAAAATTTATTTAAAACGTTTTGAACTTTCATTGGCTAAAAATAGTACATTTGAATCAGTAACTAAACGCAGATAGCACAACTAACGGTTCCCAGCAGTAAATAAAAACTAAGGAAAATACAACTGCGTTTTTTAACCAGGAAATAATGCGTTTTCCATGCGACATATTTATCATATTATATTTCTGCGTTAGTTTTCTTCCGTGTTCCGTATTTTTTGCACTAAATGCAATGTAACAGCATCGTTTAATCGACACAATTTAATTAAATTAGAAGCGTAACGAGTGCTAGTAAAAAATAGTCTATGGAATTTTGCTAGTTTAATTAAGTAGATTTTTCGTCGAGCTTATTTTTGACTAATAATGATTCTTGCGTTTGATTTAGAAATATATGCAAGAGGCAAAGAGTGTTTAAATCGGACGGGTCATTCAATACTTTTTTAGATACCCTTAGTGGGGCACATAACTGTAGACCATTGAGTAAGGAAAAAGTCAGTGGGTTAAAGAAAAAAATAGTTTTCCTTTATGAGTAGAATCAAAAATACCCTGTACACAACATGGGAATACTTTCAAAAATGTTGTGAAAAATTCAATACCGACAAATATCCGATCCTACTTTACTGCTCAATAATAAATCAATGCAAGACTGTTATTCTTCTTCAACTTAGCAGCGGTTTGATATTGTAAAGCAAATATCCTTTATTCTCACTCGCAACTATTTTCCTGCTAGATTACTCACCGTATCCTCCATATATTCCCCAATTGAAAATTGACATCACTAGTGCTCTTTTTTCTTCTGGAAAAATATCAGATAGAATGCCAGTACTTAGAGGATTACAAGCTGACTCGCCAGCGGCCATAACCATGCGAAGTAGTACCAAGTGCCAATATTCCGTTACRGAACCACTGACTATAATGGCTATCGAAAATACTACACTAGCAATTCCCAACATTTTTACCCTGTAATAAAAATAATGATTGATTACATATTAAAAATGTTGTTTCACTGCCTAAACGAGTCAAAAATATATTAAAAGAAAATATTAATAAAGGAATAGTCTTCAATTGAACAAAAAAGTGGAGCATTCAAGGTTTGAACATAAATTTTACATTAAAAAAGAAAAGCGCGTTATTTATGGCATATTGACAAACGACGATTTTCTGAGTAAGTAKTARCGCRAGTATTAATAGCTCRAATGRGTATTATTTAGKTAAAACTACTTCAGACTCAGATGTAGACAAAACGTGTTTGTCTGTCGTTTTTGMTTTATTYCTGTAATTTGCAATATTAYATTATATTTRMTTATAATTTAAATACAATTTCCACAAATGGTCTCATCGCAKAAATTRACAGAGTGAACTTATTTACTAAATTTTATRTTTTTATTATTGTTTGTTGGTAATATTRAAAGAGATCAAAAGTACACAATGAGTAGGACATTCAATTCTTGCATCCATATAGCGTAAGCTGTAACGAGACCAATTCTAAAAACAACCTAGTAAATATTTTCGTGCTCTGATTAAACATCCTCTGWTTAAAGTGTGCATCTACAACTTTTAACACGCWCGTAATAAAGAAACAAATAAAAATACWTTTAAAGTTTGSCTAYTTGRAAGCGTTCGATGACTTTAAAGCAAATTATAAWCAAATTASTTTWTTTTAATCTGATATAGCGCAAACTGTGCTGATGACGTTCTYAATARGAGAAGGAACTACATTTTTTCTATAATGAACGSAAATGCCTATAATTATACACTASTARCTAGGATCGACATAAGAAYTTCCATAAAAATAAAAATAAATTAWCAATKTATTCGATATATTTTATATCAATCCCTGAAAATGTCATGTGGTAATCTGCAATTTAATTAGCATGATAAAATATGTTAATTGCCCAGGGTTTTTAATAGATTTAAAAGCAGCGAACAATTACTTTCTGCTTGAGTGAGCTCATATGATTGACTATAAATCATTTTATTACATTTAACTACTGCAGGCAATTATTGTTTTTAAACTTTTGCCTGATTCTTGATCACGAAACGCTCAACGATTGTTGTGGAAAATACATAATAAAAGGTTATTACCTTTGCGGAGTGCATGTGCAAGATATATTGTAGATAATTTCCATGTTTCTCAGTTGTATAAAACGAATAAAGTATTTATTGATTAATATTAAATTTTTGCTTTTTGGTAGTTTTGAATAATGGTGTTACGAAGAAACGTGCCATCAGAATTTGTTTTTGCGTTTTACTTTCCAAGTTGACTAACACCGATTTTCTCAACTTATTAACATGTATAATGATGACTTATTTTTGACCAGCATCCATTATTTTTAAAAGCCAAGTCCATCTCAGGCATTGAAAGCCACAGACTTTCAAAAAAGTTTTTTTTATCATATAGCTTGATGGTAAAATGATTGAAATTTTTGTGAAAAATTAAAACAAATATTTTTGATCAAACAGCAGATTTTTCGAAAATGATTAAGATTGTTTTTATATTTGATGGTAAAAATTTTGAAATCGGTCAAGCCGTTTCGGAGTTACAGGTTTTCATATCTGTCCAATGAAGGAAGACTCTGGAAAGGTTGAAAACGGTTCAATTCCGTAGTTCCTGTTTTTTGTTTGATTTTAGAGTTTTTATTCATCCATCACCAAACTTTTTCGAAATTTACTCTCCCAGTTTTGTTATTTCAATTATTATAAAATATAGTACTGTGAAATCTAGTTAAAAAAATATGAATATGATTTCAAAAGAAAATATTATTGATTGCTAATTGGCACCAAACCTTGGGTGCAAAAATGGCTAACTAATTCTTTGTTTCAAGACACTTAAGTGGCTCTCTTACATGATTCAAGCATTGTCAAGGTTTCTATATATGTATTGCCAACCTTCGACCATTTAGCTAATTATGTAAATATGAGACGCTGCACTAAGAACAAGAGATCAATTCACTTCCCACTAACCATTTACATTCGAATTATCTGCTTTTACCTGTTAAACTTGTCAGCTAAATAACCCATTATGACTCCGACAACGGTAAACACCGCTATAAAGCTGGGTCCTGCTAATATTTGGTAATCCAATCCGAGACCGTTGTAAGTCCATTCGCAATATGGCTCATCATCAATAGACAATGATAAACACGTGTCTGAGTTGTTTGCATCTGAGCAAACAACTGGAAGATCGCTTAGATATAACTCTGTGTTGTTTAGTTGGCAAGTGATATCACCTGAAAATTATAAATGAAACGAAAATACCAGTTTAATAACATTTTTCATTCGTGTATAAGGAAATTTTAAAGAAACATCAAATATGAACATATGATACTAAAAATTAGTAACAGTCTCAATACATGTTGTCTATATACTTTCAAATCAATACTCAGCTTTAAACAACATTTACATAAACCCGCCACTTACCATAATGCAGGTCCATAGCTATTGCTTTGCTAGTTACTCCAATCATATAATGTCCCAGTTCTCCTAAGACATATCCAATGGACACGATGGCTAACACGTAGGTTGGATAAAGAAATGCAATTTTCTGCCGAATTTCTAACATCATTTTTTTGATCTGAAACAAAAACTGAGTTTGCATTACGTATTTATTATACGTTATTTATACGTTAAGAAACTAGGGGTTGTTGCAGAGTTACCCAATAAAAGTAGGGTATACAAAAGCTTATGTGCTTCTTAAGATGCATTTTTGAAGATAATCGTGACAAACTTTAGAAACTGTTCAAGGAGTTTTAATTAAATGTTTGAGAACTCCACTTCTCCTTCTTCTTCTTCTTCTTATATTAGGCCTTGAGCCTGTTTTTTCCGATATATTTTCTTTATTGCTGCAGTCGTATTTGTAACATAGACTGCCACCTATCTCGCCATCTTTAAAAGTTCAGTCCTGGTGGTCTGGTGCTCGTTGCTTTTAAATCCCTTTTAGCCGTCCATTCGTGTAACATGCCGGTTCCACTCTTGTTTTGCCCATTATACGACAACAAAATTCAAACAAAACTTCCTGTGTCCCTTAATGTTTTCATTTCTGTTGTTCTGAGAATTATTTTCATTTCTGCTGTTTCAGCTTTCTATTGAATATGTTAGTATTGGACTTACACATGACTTATATATACGTATTTCCCCATACAGCCTCATATCTTTATTTCTCCATATAGCATTCCTTAAACATCTTGATACATAAGCTGATTTATTACTCTGCTTTCGTATACATTCTTTTAGGTTTCCGTAGCTGGATATTTCTTTATCCAGACATTCGAACTTAGAAACTTGTTCGATTATTTCTTCGTTAATTACGATTTTGCATCGTCTGGGTTCCCTTGTTACTACGGGCGATTTTGTATTAGATGTTGATGTCTGCTTATTTTAGGTTTCTGTCGTGAATTTAGAGGTATGCCTTAGAGGAGCGCTGTAGATTATATTCATTATCCGAGATTAAAATTGCGTCGTCCTCATAACAAATAGTTTTTAGCTGTTTTCTTCTAAGCTCATTTTCGCGTCCTACCTTTTCTGCTTTTTCTATAATTTTGTCCGTTGATTAATTGAATAATAGTGGCCTTAGGGTATCTCTCTGACGTATTCCAGATTTAATGTCTACTTCCGATGTTAATTCATCCTTGACTTTAATTTTAGTTTTGTTGCCTGTGTTCATGTCTCTTATTACCTCTACTGAACTGCCGGGCCAGTTTTCTTCTTCATGTAATTTTAGCAGATCTCCTAATCTAACGCAATTAAAGGCTTTAGTCAGGTATACGAAGCAAGAAGGATTATTATATTTAATTGCTTTCTCAACAACTTGTCTGAAAATTGCATCTATTGTTGACCTATTTTGCCGGAAGCCTTGTTGTTCTTCACTTATTGTATATTATTTAGTGATATTATTGGCGACTATCTTCGTGAGCAATGTTAGAGTTGTGTTAAGCAAGGTGATCGTTCGGTAGTTGCTAGGATTCTTCTTAATTCCCTTTTTATATATTGGTATTGTAAGGCTTGTTTTGAATTGGTTTGGTACTCGCTTGGTATCTAAAATTTTCTGAAAAACTGCAGCAATATTTTCAATTATTATTTCCCCTGCATATTTTAGGAGCTCATTGGGTATGTCATCAGGTTCTGGGGCTTTTCTGTTTTTTCATTTTCTTGTATTCCTGAGTTCTTCGTTTATAATGTCTATGATTTGTTATCTGTCGCCTTCTTCTTCTTTCTCTCCTTCTTGCCCGTCTATTGCATATTCATTATTCCTCTCATTCTAGAGTTCTTTGATGTAAACTGTCCATTGTTCTGCTTTTATTTTATTGAAGTTGTTATATTCACTAATAGGTTGTTTTCTTCCTTTAAACATTTTCCACACTTTGCTTCCATAAAGGCCGTGTTCCATCTCTTTGGTAAATCGTCTCCAATATTCGTTTTCAGGTTTCTTAACTTAGATTTTACGTGRTTTTTTGTATCYTTCTTGCTCATAATTGTTAGGCGTCTTACTGCTGCAATATTGTGGATAAGCTATTCTTTTTTCGTACGCTAAATCTCTTATTTCGTTAGTAAACGATGGCTTTGATACTTCGGCTGCATTTAAGTTAATTTTCCTAACTCCTATACTTTCTTTTGCAGCCCCTAATATGTTCGATTCTATTTTTGTCCAGAGTTCGTATTMATTTTCCTCTTTTTTTCATGGATTTCTTGAATTTWTCTTCTACTAGTTCTTTGTAAAGYCACTTYGTAGTTTAGTTCTCTAAAGAGTTTAACTTTTTSGCATATTTGGGGGTCTTCTTCTTGTTTGATGGGATCTTGATTAAAATTTTGCCYAGCACTAATTGATGATCTGTCTCTATATTGGGCTATGTCGCGGMTCTTACGTCCAGAATTKGTTTCGGTACAACTTCTCTGTTGATTATTATGTAATTTATTGTTGAATGCTGACCCTGTGTGATTTGTCATGTGTACTTTTGTTGAGGTTTATTATTTCTTCATTGAATCGTTGTTTGATATTCTCTATGTTATTATTTCCCACTCTCGCATTAAAGTCTCCAAGTATTACGAGTTTTTCGTTCCTCTGTATCTTGTTCAGCTTATCTTGCTATACTGCTTGTTTTTGTTCTCTCTCTTGTTCTTCATATACTGCTACAATAGGAAGTTTACTGCTTGCCAGGTTTAAGGTTGTCTTGCGGGTTCTGTGGCTGGTGTATTCGATATCATCTATGTTCTTTTCAAATTTCTGATGGAGCAAAAGAGCAGTTTTTCTTTTAATTCAGCATGACTACTTTACGGGTCAGAACATGTTAATGGATCCAGGACCTAACGGCCACGTGGTGATTATGTTCTATCGTTATTGCTACTACAATATCCCCTAAAGTAATTTTTTTTTGAAGCATTGGAAAATCAGAGGTAAAAACTACATTTATGATGATCAGCGGCAGTAATGACAAATAAATTGATGTACAAATAAGAATGGATACATCTTATACAAAATAATACGTCTCATGTAATATACCAGGTGTCAATTTGAAAACTTTCCACTCTGAATATCTTTCGTGCAGTTGAAAATATAAAAAATCGGAGAGACCCGTCGATTGTATTTGTAAAGGGGATACTCTAAGTTAATATTTTTAGCCTCCTTGTTTCAACCCCCTAGGACGGGTAGATGTCACCCTTAGAATCTTAAATGCGAAGAGGAGTGAAGTGGTACATCGTTTTAAAGGCCGTTCAATCCTCTTTACATTAATTATTACTTTATTGCTTTTTGTGCAGAGGTTTTCGAATAATCGTGTTTCAAAATTACAGAAACAATTAAACTTGCCTGCATTGAGATTTCGGTTTTCAGATTAATGTTTAAACTACAATTATGTCATTGGGTCTCCTTATAGTACAAATGATTAGAATATTCGGTTACACCGTTAAAATCGTTGAATAACAGTTAGAAAATTTAGTTTAAACTATTGATTTCGGATTTAGTGAGTTCTTTGAAGAGTTTTGTTGAGAAATATCACTCTTTATTTACGGAAAAGAAATTTCTACAATAAAACCCATGGTACCTA